GTCCTATTTACTCACTCAGTACTGGTGCGCTTTAGTGCCTATCCGCACGCGACAGCCTCCCCCCCCCCCCCCTGAGGACGACCGAGTACTCTCGGTCGGAAAACTGGAGTCAGTCGCGGCAAACACTACCACTACGAGATAGCAAACACGACCACTTGAATACACCGACACTCACGTTTCAATATATCGTATGAATGCAAAATATATTCAAGACTACGTTAAGCATTAGTATCCCATAATTAATGTTAGTCACATTATAATATATAAGAGAACGAATTATGAATATCATGTAAATTCAACACACAAAACATCAATCCTGTTCTCATGCACTTGGCGTGCGTGACAAAAAATCGGCTAGGACATTTTCTTTCCCTGGGCGATAAATAACCGTGAAGTTAAACGACTGCAAATACATCGTCTATCTTAGGATGCGTGAGTTCTTGATGGGTGCTGACATGATGGCGACATCGGATGCATCTGTAGATACAGAGAACGCAGAGACAAATCTGGCAGACACAAGAACCGATTACTATTAAATACATTTTGTAATTTCTGGAGCGCGTCCTCGCACTCTCTCATCCAAATCAACTTCGCTGGCATTCCTTTCATCGTCAATGAGGACAACACGGCTGTAATGGTTCAATCGTTAGGAATGAATTTGGCATAAAAGTTACATAAACCCAACAACGCACGTACTTGTTTCTTCGTTTTGGTATTGGGATGTTAAGTATCTTACCCAATGTGGTGGCTTCGGGTTTACGGATCCCGTGTCCTACAGCGTGACCGAGGAACGTGACCTCATCGAAAGCGACCTTTACTTTAGTTGGTCTAACCGTCAGATTAAACGACCTTATGCGTTCCAGTATTGTCTTTAGACCTCGAATGTGTTCGTCTAAATCATTGTGGAAAAGCAAAATGTCGTCCAGATAATGATTACTATCGCCAAAACGTCTGCATCATGGATTACCCACCACGAGGGTCAAAAGTTCAGTCCCAACCAATGTCTCCTCCAGCGACGAAAAAATTTCCAAGTCGCGGGAAAAAACTGTGAAATTTCTAACACGTGGAGCGATCCATAACCCAGTATCACTTACTGTGTATCTCTAGTAGTTTTATCTCGGCAAACTGTCAGCTTGAGAATGATTAGAGCACCACCCGTGACACAAAATCACTCTCAACTTACGACCGCCGGTGTTTGTCCAAAATTCTACTCTGTCCACAAAAACTCTACGCTTACGTTATGAAGGAGACAATGGGGATGAACTGATGATGATACCGGATAAATGTCCATCGAAAGCTCCTCCTATACATTATATTATGCTTTAAAAAAAACGGTGTCACATGAAAGAAAACACCTCACCTCGAGTCGGCGTGAGTCCACAACATTCGCTTTCGGCCCGCGGCCCCCATGCAAGGGTCACCGGTGGCCTTCTTTAAAAAAAAAACCTGCCCTGTTTTTCTAGTGGTCATACGCTTCCCCACATCGCCACCCAGAACAGATACTTCTTCTTGGTTACGTGTCCTTCCTTTGGGTCACTATAACCTATAAATGATAACTGATGAGACTTGCTCTCTGGCAAATAGTCTCTCGACACACAGCCAATTCAGTCGACTCTTGTCGAACCTAGTGCTAATAACATTTTGGGCACTCTACGCCTTATCTTCATAGAATTCGCATAACGTGAGCATTTCGACCAATACAACGACTTCACTTCATCGACAGGCCACTAAATGTGATCTATGTTTTCATTGCTAATCAATTCAGCACTATAACAATCAGTATACAAAATATATATGATAATAACAAGTTTAGCATTGTTCAAAAAAGTTGTACATATTCTGAGCAATTCCTTGAAGTTGAACAAATTAGGTAATTTAAAAATTTTTTTAGTGGCTGAAAGGAAGAACAACCATCACAGTAATATATAAATTGACATGCTATAAATTAGGGCTGTACCGAAAAGTGGTTTTCACTATTCGGCCGAATACGAATAGCGGGACCAACTATTCGGTCGGATAAGAATACGAATAGTGTAAAGTGTAAAAAAATATATCTAAAAAAAAAAAAAAAACATGCACAATGTTAAATGTACGCTAATAGTCATCTTCTTCTTTCTGGGCATTTGAGGTTTACTGCTGCAGATATCACTCGTCTCCATTCTTCTCTCTGGCTGGCCTTATCTTCACAATTTGTGACACCAGTTGTTTGCAAGGCTGGCTGGACATTATCTCTCGAATTTCTTGTTTGTCTGCCTCGTGGTCTACGCCAATTCCTCTCTCAGATGAATAATGTTTTTACTTCTCTGTCATCTGACATTCTTTCAATATGCCCCAACCATTTTAGTATGTTAGCTCTAATGATGCCATTGATCAATGGTGATTTAAACAGATTATGTGTTACGTTGTTGCTTCTCACTCTCCATTTCCCGCTGTTAGCATCTTTGATGGGTCTAAAGATTTGTCGTAAGACTGTTTTCGATAACCTGTAATAAGGCCTCAT